TCGTCCTCGTTTTTGAGTACGGGACTTCGGGAAACTCACTAGAGGAGTAGCGCCATCTCACGAGTCCGTGATAAACTAATGTTCGCCGCAAATTCATCTTCCACTAAAAATGTTTGAGTTCTATGCTTCGTATTTGCTTTAAATTACAGTCGACTCCCTATAACACTGTTGATAATTCCGTTTTATAAGAATTCCATGTTGTACGAGTCACTTAGATTTTACAAATACGTGAGCCGTTCACAGCCCGGTACACGTACATATTTGTAAAATCTAAGTGACCTCATACAACATGGAATTCATATAAAACGGAATTATCAAGTGTTATAGGGAGTCGACTGTACAGTAATTTTATATGTAAATTTTTAACATAGCAAAAAACAGGTTGATCCTAATTTAAGTTTTACTTTATATAAAATAAAAACTACTAGACCAAATGTTTCCAAACCTGAAAATATAAAGGTCATGGGTAGTGTTTCCACCTTTTCAAAATTGTTGACCCGGACAGGGTCAGAAATTTATAAAAATTGGCAACCCTCGAACAGGTCGTAACTATTTTTGAAATTCGTTTTGTGTCAGCCGATCTTTATTAAATTTACAAGTTCGCTTCCTCTTTTCAATTTCCAATTTCTCGAGTTGTCATATGAAATAATTAAAATACAAATTATAAACTTGTAAACTGAAACTGTCACATTCGCTTTACAATAGGTTTGTTCCAACGCAAGTCCCTAACTGGTTTGAATTTGCGTATACCTCGTACGGTTTCGAATTCAAACCAGTTAGGGACTTATGTTAGAACAAATCTAATATTTTCCAGAGATATTTGCAAGTTAGAATTTTAAAAGTACGGTACATTTTCTGTCACTCAGCCTAGGGATAAGATGGAGATGGGGGTGTGAAGTTAGTCTTTAATTGTTAAAATAAAATACTAGCAAATATTTTTATATACAGTGAAAACTGCTTAGGCGACCACCTTCATTCGACGGGCGCCTGTCAAAACGGGCAAAAATTTCTGGCACGGAATAGTTTATCCATAGAGTCTTCGTATAAGTTACCTGTATTAAACGACCACCTGTGTAACGCGACCGCGGGCATCCATTTTTGGTCCGAAACAGCATACAACACCTGTAATAAGTGACCACTTTCGCGAATATATCTGGTCTAAACTATTGTAAGAACCCATCTCAACAACGTTTCCACCTCCTAATATAATGAATTAGTCTAAACTCTCGTTCGAACCCATCCCGGGCACTTCTCCCACCCTTGAAATTAGGTGCAGGTGTTAATAAATTAGTCTAGCAACAAAGGAAATTCATTTCAGTTTGTTGGAAAATGTCCGAAATGCAAAGTGCTGTCGTTAGAAGATCGTATTAAAGTTATCACAACAGCAATTAGCGGCGAAGTTTAACTGTGGGAAAACAAAATTTATTTTACCCTAGACCTACAGTATTTTCCTTGGGGGTGTAAAATATTGTACACGATACAATTAATCGGCTGATCTCATCGTTTGATAAAATCTATTTTTATTTATTTATTTTGAAGCTCATATACAGTACACGTGCGATAAATAGTTTCTGTATCAACCTACCTTATTTCCACGATATTTTTAGAAAAATAATATCCAAGTAATTTTCGCAGGCAAAATATTCAAAAAACAATAAACGCATTAATGCAAAAATCAGTTTTACTTCCTTTTTCGATTCCGCGATTGTAATGAAATCGTATAATGAGAAAAAATAATAAAATCGTTTTATTATTAATTAATAATTTTTCTTATTGTACTTAATTAATTAAGAAAATATTAAATATTAAAAAATACAGTATTTTTAAAGTTAAAATAAGATTAAACTAACGAAAACCAAAAGCAAAGTGATGGAGAGGTAGGACGCGCTTGTATATTGATGACATAATACACGTAACTGAGGAGAGAACGAAAAAAACCGAGTCGAATTAATTAAGTCGGAAAAAAGAAAGTGTGCATTATAATCGAGAAAATGCGAGTATTGTATTAATCTTTAAAGTATTGGTGTTAAATCTGTCTTATAATATCATGACGACTCCTGTAAATCGGGTTATCCGATAAGAATAAAATGCAATACCAATATAGCCCTATCGTTGAAAAAATTCGCTTATTTTTGCTCACCTCGAGTTTTGCTTAGTAGAAATGGCTAAAAAGTGCGCAAAATACGTACGGAAATACGGTATTACAGCACCACCTGTATTGGACGACCACCTGTCTAAAAGACCACTTTTTGAAGGAACCGTGGGTGGTCTCCATAGACAGGTTTTACTGTATTTATTTTTGTTTTATCACAATTTCTACGAAAATCGGACAAATTAATAATTAATTCGGATCATAAATTTAAAAACCGGCTTGTTTGGGTGAAAACCGGCCTGGTGGCAACATTAGTCATGGGATTTCATAACCTCCAAAAATGATTAGTTCAAAAAGTCACCACTAGGGGAAAATCAGGGTTTATTCCTTGTATTGACATTTTACAAATAATAGTCATGGCAGTACATGTTCAATGGGCTGTCCACCATTTCCTGCCACCAGGTTAAAGTGCAATATCGCGCTCTCCAGTAGTTCGAAGCATAGCCGGAATGTTTTGAATATCTATCAGCTTCGAAAAATGTCTGATGTAGCGATAAACGGATTTTTTCACGTTACTAACACCTAAATAGGGACCGATTTCCTAAGAATGTCCTTCCGGGAAGCATTCCTCCGTCAGCAGATCGCTCGTGTGTCGCTTTGCCCTAAAACAAATAAACCTAAATCGAGTTTTCACATATTACTGTACCTCTGACGGCTAGCACTAATATTACAATTTATTACAAAACCAACAGAGACATAGGGACAGTCGAAATGGTTATACTTTCAAGTTCAAAGATGCCTTGCACAGTTTGCGCTTGTTTGTAATATTATTATTATGTGTGATTTTTACCGCAGACGATGCAGTGCTTTTCTTTGTTATTCTTTTGTGGCTATTCGCCTATACTCCGAGAGACTTGTAGGCGACCTGGCCCACCAGTGGCCAAGCGGTCTTCATACACTGAACACTAGAAGTTCGGTCGTAGGTTCGCGCTTCGCTCGGACGGGTTGACCACATGGAGTTTTCCGTGTTTTCTCCACGTCTGTAACGCCTAAATTGGGGCCAGTTTCCCTTAGAAAGACCTCCCGGAAGGCATCCCTCTAGGTAGATCGCCCAAGTGTTGTGTTGCCATAACTTAATAACAAACAACAACTTGTAGGTGACCGAAGAGTCGGCCTTATAGAATGACCTAAACGCGCGCAGGGGAAATAATGCCTTCCGAGAGGACTTTTACGGGGAAACTGGCCTCTATTCAGGCGTCATCGACATGGAGAAAACCCGGAAAACTCCATGCTGCCAGCCCGTCCGAGCGAGGCGCGAATCCACGACCAAACTCTCAGTGTTCAGGATCTAGTCCAGAGGTCGCCAAAGTGGTCGATATCGATCCCTGTATTGATGTCGATCCCAATAATGTCATATCGACTCCTGGAGGTCGATGAAAACACTAAAACTTACAAATTTTGAACTGAATCTTTCTAAAGTTTATCAAGCTTATCAGTCTCATTGATTGTCAGTTACAAAAATTATTATTAATAAATGAAAAAAATGTAAAATTGAAAGATATAAATAAAATAGAGCTTTTTTTTTGCTTGCAACACAAACTTTTTGGTTGGGGTCGATGTGAGATTTCGAAAAGTTGTAGGGGGTCGACGATCAAAAAAGTTTGGCGACCCCTGGTCTAGTCCATTCAAGTGCGAGGGCGAAGACCGCTCGGCCACTGTTGGGCCTTAATAATCCGTTCCTGCATTTTCTGAATTTACAGTACAGGAACGCCCGTATAACACGGGAGTTACGTTCCAAAAAATTGCCGTGTTATGCGAATCCGTGTTATACGAAACAAAGAACTAGTGCGAAAAGAGGATTTAGGTTCCAAAAATTAAAAAACATGTTGTTAAATCCTTATTTAAATCGGATTTATTATTAATTTATTCATAGGTAAAATATTTATTATATAAGTAAATATTTTACCAGAGGATTATTCATCCTATATGATGATCATGAGCATCATCAACTGGTAACAGTTTGTGGGTGTGTTTGTTAATAGCGGTCGCTTTACAACGGGAGTGCGCTGCTGTTTGTAAGCATTTAGGAACGAAGGTGAAAGAAAGATGGCGGCGCCCGCACTATCGATAGTATCTTTCTTTCTTTCTTTTCTTTCTTCTCTAATATGGAGCTTATCTATCGATAGTATCGTGTGGAGGAATCTATAATTCTAAAATGAGCTTTTAGAGGCAAAAGAAGGGTCCCAATTGTAAAATTTAACCATTAAATGGATTATTTGTTGAAAGAGCATTCAAAGTAGCCACGAAAACAATTAGAATGCTCGCACGGAGTTATGCGGAGGTATAAAAGAACGCACCCTTTATTACATTTTATGTTGTACGAGGATTTTACCCAATTCCCGAACCGTGTTAGAGTGAACCCGTGTTATAAAAAGCGCCGTGTTATACGGGGGATGTTCCCAATTCTCGAACCATGTTAGAGTGAATCCGTGCTATAGAAGTGCCGTGTTATACGAGGGTTACCTGTACTGTATATCTATTTTACTTTAGTATTTTATCTTTTATCCACCAGATGGCATAAGTATCGATATAGGAAGCATGTAAATTTATTCGAATTTACGAATTATAAATAAACATAAAAAAATTTTTTTAATTTAAAAGTCAGACCAGATATGGATATTGAAAATTTTAATTTAATTTTAAGCTACTGTCATCAAACATTTAAAAAATTTTTTAAATTATAATAAAAAATTTTAAATATCGTTAGAAAGCGAGTTAAAGTTAGTATAATGCATAATAAACTTCGAATATATTTTTTAAATTTATTATAAAACCATAAAAATTATTAAATAAACGAGGACGATAAAAAATAATTACATTTGAAAAAAAAAAATAAAATATATTATACGAATGACGTAAGCCCCGAAAGAGAGGCTGTAAATGGATATTGTAGAATCCCGCCATTTGTCAATAATAACAAGTTAATATGAATTTTTCAAGAAAAAGAATGAAAGCGAAAACAAAAGCGTGAAATGGGTTACCTGAAATTCATAGAAGTTGAAAACTTCAAATCGTATAAAGGCAAACAGCGAATCGGTTCGCTGAAGCCTTTTATGGCAATCATCGGCCCAAATGGATCAGGTAAAAACATTAGGCTTAGCTAAGTTATGGAATTGATGTCAAATTTTTCTCTACATTTTTATCAAGTCTTTAACTCTTATTACACTTTAAGTTCTTATTTATTAATTATTAGCGCGAAATAGTCGTTAAAACGTTGGAAGTTTTATTTCCTTACTTTAGATCGGTTAAAAACAAATAAATAGAATAGATTGGTAGAAGTTACGTGTATATACATAAATTACTTAAAAGTAACTTGTGGAAAATATGGTTTATAATTAGGTATATCTATTGAGATGCTTTATTTTTTAAATTAATAACTTAATGAATTTGTATTAAAATGCAATCAACTGCAATTAAATTTATCAATAAGCTTTCAGATTATCTGCAAAAAGTTTGAGTTACGCTTGACATCAATTTTAACATTTCGACTTATCACGTTAAATTATTTCTTGTGCTGTGTTGTCTTTTAATATTTACATTAAGAGTATAGAGGTCGTTCAAATATGACATCAATTTTAAGCCCTTTTTTTCTTATGTCCTTCCTGTCACATTTACCAATTTTTAAATGTCATTTTTGATCTGCCATTCCTGTTGTTAAAATCGAGTATTTCTGTAAAACGGATCTGTAGTACTGTACATTAATTTATTTGTCCTGCTGAGGTGAAGCTAATTTTAAAAATAGACTAATAAAACAAAATTTTCTGATTTATGGAAGAAGTGTGATGATATTGTACTAACTCTTAAAGTTAATATCGTTGGTTGGCGACCAACACCTCGTATCTGCATTTCCTAAAATTTTATGAGAGAGAAAGAAAATATGGTTTTGAGAGAGCAAGAGTTTGAGTACAAGGTTGTGAGTTTTTGATACTGTCAGAGAGAGAGCTTAAAAGGCACAAACCATTTATGGAAATATATATAGAAATTGACTTTACAACATTAATGCAAAAATGTGGTTTTTGACTAATTATTGGAGACAAGGTTTTGATCTCCAATCGACCATATGTTATATACTGGTATATTTTTTGGTATTATTTTTATCTATAATCTGTGATTGTAAAGGTGAAATTGTTGTCATCATCCTTTCATATTAAAAGTTCTACTAAAGTGCATGTATTTAAATAAGCATGAACTTGATCAAAATACTTTTGTATAATGATCCTGGTAAAAAAAATATTCAAATAGGAAAATTTTTGAGAATTTTTAGGATATTATCATTTTACTAACTCACTACTCCCTGTCACCCTCTTCTGTAGGACATCATATTTGAATATATTTGTGTTTTTTGTTCTAAAATAGTAAAAGAATTGAATTGGAAAATAAAATATCATTTCTGAGTTGATGCATGATGATGTCTGTTAGTTACAAGCTGATTAATGATAGATGAAATTGTTTATATTTGTAATATGAACTAAACATTACTTAAACTAAAATACATTTTAAAAAGATATCTATTTTTTTCAACTTTATAAATAATTTTATTTTTATTCATAGATTAAGATCTATTTTAATAAAATTAATTTTAAAATTAAAACTATATATGGTAAAACCTCTAAATCTCAAATTTGAATCAATAAAAAAAAATTGGCCAGTTGAAGTTATGGAAAGTTCTGTATGTGGAGATATATGAAAAATAGAAAAATTTTTAATTCAGATACAAAATACAAATTAAAACCAAATAGCTTATCAGAACATGGCTAAATGAGAAGGACTTATCACATCAGGGCCCTTAGTCTCGAGTTTTTCGTGTTACAACTCCCAACGTGTTGAAGGTGTCATGTGGTACCATCTCACACTCTGACATCAAATCAGTAGTCTTGAGTTATAACTCACATGCTTTCCCATCTCACCATGCGAGTAGCAACTCATGTTGAGCATGTGAGATTCCTACATGAAAGTGAAAATGACTGACAGATACACTATTCTGATTGCAATTGAAGCGTTAGAAAGAGCAGAAAGAGTTGTTTAATAAGGCAAAGAATTTTTCGACCACGAGTAGATGCCATTTCTTTTTCATGTCAAGTCAACACTAATAAAAAAATTTTAATTCATAATTGATGATAAAATTATACAGCAAATTTTTTCCAAAAATAAAAAGAAGTAGCTAATTCATCGAAAAAGAGAATTAAAGTGATAGTAAATTATATGTATAAATTATTAAAAGCATAGACACTATATTAAAATTATTTATTAATCAAAAGTGTTAAGTTCTGATTAATAAATAATCTTAATAAACAAAACAATTTAAGAAATAGATCAAGGAAGAAAACTATATGAAGAAAGGATTAAATTAAAATACTTTTTCCATTTCAACTACCATAATTCTCTCCACAAATCGAATTGTCTTTTTCTTGTAAATTTGTTGTTGAATTTTCCACTGATCATTTTCTTATTATTTTCTATATATGTTACTAATATTTCTTTTTGTTCTTTTTGCTCATTTTTTAAAATAAAACATTGGAGGTTTCCATTTTGTTTCTGTGTACTATATTGCTATAAGAAAACTTTTAACTGTAACACGTGTAAACTAATTCATGTTGATTTGTTTACAACTTATTACAGTTAAGTTGATCGGTCGAATCATTATAATCACAAACCCAGATGCATTGTAAATAATCCCGTTATGCTTAATGACACACATAAATAAGTGAATATGACCTACTTCCGCTTGCATTTTGAGTTCACTTGATGGGTCTAACTCGAGACTACTGATTATGTGTCATAGTAACACAAGTGAGTTCGATGACGTCAATTAGAGTACAACACAAAAAACTTGAGACTAAGGGCCCAAGACAAGATGGAACTTGTGAGTTCATTTTCTGTCTTGTCCTGATGTGATGTGATAACTCCTTCTCATTTAGCAATGTTTTGATAAGCTATTTGGTATTAACAAAATACAAAGTAATAGAATATGTGATGCAATTCTTCAATATATTTTAGATCCATGAAATTTATTTGAATCATTATTAGAACAATATATGAGGCTGTAATAGTGATTCAAATAAATATGAATTCAGGTATATCACAATCTCTATGCTATGCTAAATTTATTAAAAACTCAAATTTTATATAATAAATCACATAAATTTATCTATAGGAAAATTTAGATGGTTAGCAAATAGATCTTAAATAATATAAAAGATTTTGTGAGTTCACAAAAGCATCAAAAATAAAATTCAAGATGGTTGCTATAAAGAATTCCACTCCAAATAAAAATATGAATTATGAGAAAATCAATATTCTCCAATGGAAATTAAAAAAGAAAACAACACTAAAATTAATTTTAGCTACTGGAGTGATCATTCTTCATTTGTTGTGACAAAAAAAATCGTCAACATTTCTGCTAAGCTGAGAACATAACATTTAAGGCACTGGACAATGCTTCATGCATTTTCTACTATTAGCAAATTTTCTGATAAATTGTTAACTCTGATGCTATTGGCTTACTTATCCAGTTGTATTAAAGCTATTTTATCAAACAATACACAAAAAGATTCTCAGAACTTAAAACCTGTTGATTGGTTTCCACTAATTTTGACTGGTTCCACTTTAGAAGGAACACCATGGAGATTCTTGAAATTTTTTTTGACTTAAGCAGTAGAAAAATACATTATATTATGCAGGGTGTTTGCTGGGACTGAAAATCTATTTTGATGTAAGGAGAGATTTGAGATTACAGGTTTTACTGTAATATATTTTGTTCAATATCAATATTGGACATGCCAAATAGCATCAAATTCTAAGAACTTGGTCTTGCTAGAATAATTATATTTTTTGGTTGTGCATGATATGACAATTTATGTTAAAATTATATTACTATCATTACTTGATTTTGATGTACAGTACAGTGGTACCTCGGTATACGTCTGCTTTAGAATACGTCCAATTTGGAATACGTCTTGTTTGGACGAAACAAATTTTGCTTGGTATACCACTTTTGTTCGGTATACGACATAATTCAATTATACGCGCCGTCAATGAACAAGTAGTACTATCGGTGTACTAGACCAGACTAGACGTTCGCGGTGCAACGGTTTATAACTTTGTTAAATTTCTTCTGATTTTAATTCGTAAGTAAAATTTTATTATTTTTATTAATCACGAATCCCAAAAAGGCAAATGAAAAGCGACAGAAAACTAAAAAAATGACTAGAATTACAATGGAACTGATGAAAGAGATTGTTGAGAAATACGAAGGTGGCACGCGTGTTCGAGATTTTAACTGTTGTTTACCGTATTCCGAGAACGACGATATGGACAATCGCGAAAAATAAAGACATTATTAAATCTGCTAACGTTGCGAAAGGGGTTAAATCAATTTCTAAACAGAGATCGAAGACATTAGATCATGTCGAGAAATTGCTTTTGCTTTGGATAACTGAAAAACAGTGCTGGAGACAGCGTATCGGAAGCAATTATTTGCGAGAAAACTAAAAAGATACACGCTGATCTCACGAAAAATCAAGCAGGAACTAGTCAGGAAAGCGAGGTGTTTAAAGCCAGCCATTTTTTTTACACGAGAACGGATTAATAATTTTTATATTACTTCTTATGGGAAAGGTTTGTTTGGTATACGTCCAATTCGGTATAAGTCCAAACGTCGAGAACTGATTTAGGTCGTATACCGAGGTTCCACTGTACTTTCATAATTTTTATCATCATCATCTATTATAACTATTTCATTTGAATCTGTTGTTTGGTAATTGATTTGAATCATCAGTAGCTAGTCCACTACCAGAAACTTTAGACTGCTTTAAAAGTATAAAATGTGAATTTTCTTCAGACATTATACGTCTTCCTTCCGCTATTTCTTCTTCCTCTTCTAAATCTAGATATAGTAACTGCATTTCCTTAATGGATCCAGCGCTTCTCTGACATTGTTTTCCGTATGTCCTCCAACTTCTGTTGAATTTTTCTTCTGTTCAATTTTCCAACTATCAAGTAGCCCAACTTCTGAACAGAGAAAAATTCAACAGAAGTTGGAGGACATACGGAAAACAATGAGTTAGAGAAGCGCTGGATCCATTAAGGAAATGCAGTTACTATATCTAGATTTAGAAGAGGAAGAAGAAATAGCGGAAGGAAGACGTATAATGTCTGAAGAAAATTCACATTTTATACTTTTAAAGCAGTCTAAAGTTTCTGGTAGTGGACTAGCTACTGATGATTCAAATCGATTACAGTACCAAACAACAGAGATTCAAATGAAATAGTTATAATAGATGATGATGATAAAAATTATGAAAGTACATCAAAATCAAGTAATATAGAAATTGTGGACCTTTCTTTTATATTACTACCACTTTCATTGTGTATGAGTGTTATAATATAAAACTTTTACCTTAAAAAATTATTGTATTGCCAAAATTTGTTTTAATTTTGAACTATAACAAAGTATTATTTAAATTCTGCTTTTTTATAATAATTGTATGGAAAAACTAATTTTAAATAATAATTTATTTGCTTTCTAGTTTTGAGATAGACAAATGTATCAAAACAGATTAATATGAACAGTTTTTACACACATCATGCCAAATTACAAAAATAACAAATTAAATAAACAGTATTTTTATAAACATAAAATATACATTCAAGTACTTTCAACAATATATTATTGTCTTTGTCAGGCAAGAAATTTTTGTATAAAAGAATATTGAATAGATTTGATATTCTTTTATTTAATATATTACAAAATTAAAATATATTTAACTATGAAAAATATGAATTGTGCATATCCTCTATTTCAAGGCTCCCACTTGCCACTAGTCAAATTATTTTTATGAATAAAACTATATTAATTTGTATAAAAAATCAAACATGCATTTATCAGATTGTGAAAGGACCTTCCACAGTTGAGTTTAAAATTACATTTTCTTGTGACAGTTCAAATGCCTATCTACCAGTAGGTAGTGTGTCAATGACCACCTCTTGTTTTCCTATGGTGGGCACCTCGTGGTAAGGTGTGAATTATGTCGTTCACAATGTTGAGGCAGTGGACATTACTCAAGTGATGTCAATGTCACATGTTGGCAGATAAATACAACCAACTTAATAACTGTATTGCTATTCAAGTTGCTGTTAATGTTAATAGATTTTACTCAAATGAACATTTTAGAGTACAGTCGACCCCCATAACACAGTAGATACGTTCCACTTTATAAGAATTTCGCATTATAGGAATCCTTAAATACATGAACTAATCAGAGCCCGGCACGTGTGCAGTTTACAGACTACATCTGTTTGAAAGGTTTTCTTCCATAAAATTAATTGATTCTAAACTAATTTGACTCAACATTTCCAAAACACGTATAATTTTTTGGGAATAATTTGTGTAAACTATACTATAAACAAAATATTGTAGGATTACTTACCAAGTGTGCACTGTTCAACGATGCCATTGCTTAAGCTTGTTTTCGTCGCGGAGCAGTGCACCAAATGGCGGGCACATTTTCTGATAAGTTATTTTTCTGTGAAAAATTTGTTGAACTTTGGAGATATCATTAATAGAAACAATTTTTATGGCCGTTGAATAAGAAATGTTTTTTTCACAAGAAATGTATAAAATTATAGTACAGATGATAGTAAACTCAACTTACCCACCTAAACTCTCCATAGCGTGTAAGTAGTTCGGCTGCTCGTCCACTATTGGTCCAGATTCGACCAATCCTATCACGACATGAGTCGGTGATGACGTTTTATTGCGTTTTACGAGTCTCTGTTAGTGTCTTTATACGAATACGGTCGCAATTTTTTTGCTGGGATATACAAATTTGCATTATATGAACCCGTGTTATAGGGGGGGTCTACTGTAATATGTACACTCTGAGTGAAAATAATAAAAATAGAAAAAGTTTGTGATTCTTTGCACACAACATGAAATTAAAAGGATCATTGAATTATAAAGAAAAATTTATTAATATCTTAGAATTTGAAGAATATAATATAGAGTACAAAGAAACAAACTAAAGTCTTCAGTGAAATATTAGCAGAAATAAAAAATAAAATATATAATGCAATAGCTATTATTTCTATGGATAGTGAAGTAAGTAATATTGAAATTTGCTTGACAAATTTTTATTTATCCTGCATTCAAATAGTTTTTAAATTTATGATTATTAAAAAAATCTAAGAAGAATCTTTTACTATTAAAATGTATATATTTTTTAGTAAAAATTTTTGAATATGTGGTTGTCATTAGAGTAACTGATTTCATAATGTTAAATACTTACAGTGAAATTCTATTAATCTGGCATTTGGTATACTGACATATCAAGGTCGTCATTAGGGGTTATTGGTGTGTTGTTCTTTACCGTCATCATCAACAACTTCCAATATGAACATCATAGAAACAGAGAAAGACCAAGATGACATGATGATATGCTAGGTTATGTAGGAAAAATCATGCACAAGTTAACTGGTTATAACCAGTTATCTTGTTAATTATTATGTATATTTAAACATATTATATTATTATGTATGTTTATCTATACGTATACATTTTCATGTACTCGTTGCTGTCTGGCACACATCAATGTATTTTGGTCAATTCTTTATCTGTAATATATATTGTTATGCTTTCAATAATTATGATGCAGGCATCTATCTTCCCACATTGCCCCCTTTTCGTTCCCTATCCTTCATCTTCCTCACCCCCATTTCACCAACTTTTTTCCTCCAACCTCCAGGTCATACCTATGAGTGGAACCCGGAGGCACACCCCCTCTTTCAATTAAAAAAAATGTAGGTTACATAGTGTGAAAGTTAAACAAAAATTCAGAACAAAACAATAAAAAGATATATGTACTGTACATTACATTAAATGATGTCAAAATGATTTCCACTTTAAAGAAGCACACTCCATCTTACCAGACTTAATGGCAGTAGCCTTTCTAATAGCTTTATATATTTCTAATGTTTCCAAATACTTTAGATGGGCCATGTTGTTGGTGAGGTACAAAATACAGGTCTTGTAGAGAAGTCAGGACATCACCCATCAGTGGCATAAACCCCTAGAGTGGTGGTGGTGGTAAGGCATAAATCACTTTACTACCACCACTATATAGCATATATCATTACTATTAAATTTTATTTAATGCTAAGAACAATTGCAATTTTTATAATTGTTTACGTTTTTTACGGTTATAACTTATTTAGAATTTTATGAGTAATTTTGATCTAGAAAATTTAACCTTTTAAAAAGTGGAAATTTTAATTGAAAGGTACAGTACTTAAGGTAATTTGATAAATTTAACAAGATATAAGATGGCAATTATTAGAATGATCAATTAATTTCAGTAATCGCCTTTTTATTCCAGTAAATATTTGATATTTGAATTTAATAAAAATATTACTTAAAATACGAATTTTCCATTGTTCAAATAAATGTATCTTGTTATATGAATGACAATATTATATTTTCTTCCAAAAAAATTAGTATCAGTATTCTCAAATACTTCTGTAAGTCTTTCAAAAAATAAGACTTACATAAAATGGTGTTCAGTTTTGACCTATTCAGTTATGATTACAGTAGACCCCCTATAACACAGTAGATACATTCAGTGTTTTATGAAATTCATGTTTTATGAGTCCTTAAATACATGAGCCAATCCCAGCCTGGCACATATGCAGTTTACAGACTATGGCTGCTTGAAAGGTTTTCTTCCATAAAATTAATCAATTCTAGACTAATTTGACTCAACATTTCCAAAACACGTATAATTTTTTGGGAATAATCCATATAAACTATGCTATAAACAAAAATTTGTAGGATTACTTACCAAGTGTGCACCATTCGATGATGCAATTGCTTAAGCTTGTTTTCGTCATGGAGTGGCGCATCAAACGGCGGGCGCGTTTCCTGATAAATTATTTTTCTGTGAAAAATTTGCTGAACTTTGGAGACATCATTAATATAAATATAATTTTTATGGACGTTAAATAATAAATGGTTTTTAGTAGGGCCGCTGCTTGTTTAAACTCAACGGTTTGGGCAATATCCACTATTGGTCTAGATTTGACCAATCCTGTCACGACATGAGTTGGCAATGACGTTTTACTGTATCATACGAGTCTCTTTTAGCATGTTTATACGAATACAATTGCAATTTTTTCGCTGAATCCATATCATATGAACCCGTTTTATAGGGGGGGTCTACTGTACTTATCTAAAATCTTTAAAAAAACTTAAAGGAAATTTTCTTAAATATTTAAATTTTTTTTTAATTATTTCATTAAGAATATATAATTGTAAATATACACAGAACTTATCCCAAGAGAATTAATTTGGTTTAAAAAATATTGACTGCAGATTGTTTTTACATGCCGTTTTTCATTAATATGGAATATTCTTAATTCCTACAGTGATTCAAACAAAATATACTGTGTTATGCATTCTTAAAGATTTTAATGCATTCAATTTAATCTGACCTAGTGCAGCTTTTTATAGATGGCATGTCTCATCAATAAATCACAGTTGAACAGTTTTTAATTTTACAAATCAATATCTTATGTATGTAATCTTTTTATTATTGATCCTAATACATAATGGATCAAATATTTATATTATTATTACTGGATTTTTTAAGAAGCTTGAAATAATAATATAGTCATAACTTTATTATTATTATCAAATGTGATTTATTAAATATCAAATAATCCAAACTATAAAACAAATTAAAATTGTTATGTTGTTGAGTTTGAAATATTTAAAAAAGAATGCTTTTTATGGAAAATTATTTGAAATTATACTTACTTTTATTTAGGAAAATCAAATTTTATGGATGCTATCAGTTTTGTTTTGGGAGAGAAGACATCAAGTTTGAGAGTTAAAAAATTGAGCGTATGTATTTCTTCTGCAGGTTGTTGCTTTTTTTATATTTGTGATTAATTTGTCTATTTTGTTATAGATGTTTTTATAATTTCATAATTTACAATTTATTCTTCATTAAAATTAAAATTCTTGCCATTATAGGAACTCATTCATGGAGCACCGATTGGTGCACCAGTTTCATCACGTGCAAGTGTGACTGCTGTTTATGGTGATGAAGATGGAACAGAAATTCATTTTACAAGAGTTGTTATTGGTTCTTCTTCTGAGTATAAAATTGATGGAAAGGTAAATGTTTGTTTACTTTTGAAGTTACTTAAATATTTTAAGATGTATGCAAAATATTCCCATTTTTGGAAAATTTATTTATATACATAATTTGTGTTTGTGTGTGAAAATGATATAAATAAATGGTTTGCATTGTAATAATATTTTATTGATAAAGCTTAGCATAATAGTTTTTAAGACAATTTACAGAATTTATGATCACAATAAAATTTATAATGAATTTAAATGAAATGTTAAATTGCAGCAAACTTTTCAGGACAAATAGTATTAGTAGTGTCATTTATTGAGTTTTGTTGACATTGTATGATATTTGATGCAGTTGCAGTTCATGATTCAAGTAGAATTAGGTGTTTATAAAATAACTTAATGTGGTGATGTAATGTAGTGAAAACACTATCATTTCTACTGGTTATATAGAATTAATATTAGTATTTTTCATCATTGACATAGAATAACAAAGACTAATCATATGTGTATATGTGGCATGTATTAGTTTTTAGGAATAATTATACAGTGGTACCTCAGGATATGAACGCCCCAGTATACGAAATTTTCAGGATACGACATGAAATTCGAACATATTTTTGCTCCATGATATGAACAANACATAGAATAACAAAGACTAATCATATGTGTATATGTGGCATGTATTAGTTTTTAGGAATAATTATACAGTGGTACCTCAGGATATGAACGCCCCAGTATACGAAATTTTCAGGATACGACATGAAATTCGAACATATTTTTGCTCCATGATATGAACAAAAACTCATCATATGACATTACATTAGTTTGCAGCTATATAGCATATATCATTACTATTAAATTTTATTTAATGCTAAGAACAATTGCAATTTTTATAATTGTTTACGTTTTTTACGGTTATAACTTATTTAGAATTTTATGAGTAATTTTGATCTAGAAAATTTAACCTTTTAAAAAGTGGAAATTTTAATTGAAAGGTACAGTACTTAAGGTAATTTGATAAATTTAACAAGATATAAGATGGCAATTATTAGAATGATCAATTAATTTCAGTAATCGCCTTTTTATTCCAGTAAATATTTGATATTTGAATTTAATAAAAATATTACTTAAAATACGAATTTTCCATTGTTCAAATAAATGTATCTTGTTATATGAATGACAATATTATATTTTCTTCCAAAAAAATTAGTATCAGTATTCTCAAATACTTCTGTAAGTCTTTCAAAAAATAAGACTTACGTAAAATGGTGTTCAGTTTTGACCTATTCAGTTATGATTACAGTAGACCCCCTATAACACAGTAGATACATTCAGTGTTTTATGAAATTCATGTTTTATGAGTCCTTAAATACATGAGCCAATCCCAGCCTGGCACATATGCAGTTTACAGACTATGGCTGCTTGAAAGGTTTTCTTCCATAAAATTAATCAATTCTAGACTAATTTGACTCAACATTTCCAAAACACGTATAATTTTTTGGGAATAATCCATATAAACTATGCTATAAACAAAAATTTGTAGGATTACTTACCAAGTGTGCACCATTCGATGATGCAATTGCTTAAGCTTGTTTTCGTCATGGAGTGGCGCATCAAACGGCGGGCGCGTTTCCTGATAAATTATTTTTCTGTGAAAAATTTGCTGAACTTTGGAGACATCATTAATATAAATATAATTTTTATGGACGTTAAATAATAAATGGTTTTTAGTAGGGCCGCTGCTTGTTTAAACTCAACGGTTTGGGCAATATCCACTATTGGTCTAGATTTGACCAATCCTGTCACGACATGAGTTGGCAATGACGTTTTACTGTATCATACGAGTCTCTTTTAGCATGTTTATACGAATACAATTGCAATTTTTTCGCTGAATCCATATCATATGAACCCGTTTTATAGGGGGGGTCTACTGTACTTATCTAAAATCTTTAAAAAAACTTAAAGGAAATTTTCTTAAATATTTAAATTTTTTTTTAATTATTTCATTAAGAATATATAATTGTAAATATACACAGAACTTATCCCAAGAGAATTAATTTGGTTTAAAAAATATTGACTGCAGATTGTTTTTACATGCCGTTTTTCATTAATATGGAATATTCTTAATTCCTACAGTGATTCAAACAAAATATACTGTGTTATGCATTCTTAAAGATTTTAATGCATTCAATTTAATCTGACCTAGTGCAGCTTTTTATAGATGGCATGTCTCATCAATAAATCACAGTTGAACAGTTTTTAATTTTACAAATCAATATCTTATGTATGTAATCTTTTTATTATTGATCCTAATACATAATGGATCAAATATTTATATTATTATTACTGGATTTTTTAAGAAGCTTGAAATAATAATATAGTCATAACTTTATTATTATTATCAAATGTGATTTATTAAATATCAAATAATCCAAACTATAAAACAAATTAAAATTGTTATGTTGTTGAGTTTGAAATATTTAAAAAAGAATGCTTTTTATGGAAAATTATTTGAAATTATACTTACTTTTATTTAGGAAAATCAAATTTTATGGATGCTATCAGTTTTGTTTTGGGAGAGAAGACATCAAGTTTGAGAGTTAAAAAATTGAGCGTATGTATTTCTTCTGCAGGTTGTTGCTTTTTTTATATTTGTGATTAATTTGTCTATTTTGTTATAGATGTTTTTATAATTTCATAATTTACAATTTATTCTTCATTAAAATTAAAATTCTTGCCATTATAGGAACTCATTCATGGAGCACCGATTGGTGCACCAGTTTCATCACGTGCAAGTGTGACTGCTGTTTATGGTGATGAAGATGGAACAGAAATTCATTTTACAAGAGTTGTTATTGGTTCTTCTTCTGAGTATAAAATTGATGGAAAGGTAAATGTTTGTTTACTTTTGAAGTTACTTAAATATTTTAAGATGTATGCAAAATATTCCCATTTTTGGAAAATTTATTTATATACATAATTTGTGTTTGTGTGTGAAAATGATATAAATAAATGGTTTGCATTGTAATAATATTTTATTGATAAAGCTTAGCATAATAGTTTTTAAGACAATTTACAGAATTTATGATCACAATAAAATTTATAATGAATTTAAATGAAATGTTAAATTGCAGCAAACTTTTCAGGACAAATAGTATTAGTAGTGTCATTTATTGAGTTTTGTTGACATTGTATGATATTTGATGCAGTTGCAGTTCATGATTCAAGTAGAATTAGGTGTTTATAAAATAACTTAATGTGGTGATGTAATGTAGTGAAAACACTATCATTTCTACTGGTTATATAGAATTAATATTAGTATTTTTCATCATTGACATAGAATAACAAAGACTAATCATATGTGTATATGTGGCATGTATTAGTTTTTAGGAATAATTATACAGTGGTACCTCAGGATATGAACGCCCCAGTATACGAAATTTTCAGGATACGACATGAAATTCGAACATATTTTTGCTCCATGATATGAACAAAAACTCATCATATGACATTACATTAGTTTGCAGTGCCGTTTTTTATTCACTTCTGTTCATTGATCTCAGTCTGCATGTTTGCTTCGTTGTGGAAGGATCTCGCTCGATAAAGGAAATCTCGAGATATTATCAGAAAGTGACTAATTTTATTGAAAAAAAACATCCCAAAAAGGTTCACACTAGCTGTATTGCTGCTCAGAGTAATGACATTTGCCTAAGTAATTTTAGAAACATTTTAAAAAGTAGGCAAAGCCAAACCTCTTTGGATAGATATTTTACCAAGCGACCTCTATCCAGTGGAAGTGAAGGAAATAAAGCAAAAAGCAGTGAATAAAAATTTGAAAAAATATATAAAACAGAAAAGATAAAAAAATTATCATTAGGTTATTTTTTAAGTTATTGTTACATTATGTCATGTAAGTTAAGTTTTAGTATCATTTCCCTTCTCCCTCTCCTCCGCCACCAGTTTACACCTCCACCGTTGTCTATCCTCAAAGGTAAAGTGCAAATAAGACTAATTTTTTAATCAATTATTGTTATTTATAACTACAAAACATTTTTCAGTGTTTTCCTTACTAAAGTTTTTTTTTTTTCAATGTACTACTTAGCTTTAATTTGAGTGTTTTTTTTTGTGTTGGAACGGATTATTTGGTTTTACATGTAATCGTATGGGGAAAAATGATTCACCTTACGANTAGGTTAAGTTTTAGTATCATTTCCCTTCTCCCTCTCTTCCACCAGTTTACACCTCCACCATCGTCTATCCTCAAAGATAAAGTGCAAATAAAACTACATTTTTTTTATCAATTATTATTCTATTATGGTTATTTATACATTTACAACTACAAAACACATTTTTTAGTGTTTTCCTTACTATAGTTATTTGTTTTAATGTACTACTTAGCTTTAATTTGAGTGTGTTTTTCATGTTGGAACGAATTATTTGGTTTTACGTATAATCGTATGGGGAAAAATGATTCGCCTTACAACATTTTCATGATACGATCTCAGTTTCAGAACGGATTAATTTCATATCCTGAGGTACCACTGTATATAGTTTTAACTCTATTACAAGTTTTTTTGGTATTCATCATAAAGTTATAAAATTTGAGGTTTATACAGATGAAAAGAAAGAACTGAAATGAAGGATACAGCATAGTCTATGATTTGATGAATTTAGATTTAATTGTGTATTTTGCTGAATGGCATGGACTTTGTTCCAACACATTAAAATGTTTTTTTAGTTCACACTGTTCTTAATGACACTGTTCTCTTCACACCATACACTGTCTTTATAAGCCATTTTCTTCCATGAAAGAATTAATTTTTGAATTGGAACTGGTTCTCCATCTTAGTTCTCTCTTAAATATTGTTGAAATAATTGTTAAACATGCACTATAGATTCATTTTTATTAAAACACTAGCAGATACGCCAGGCGTTGCTTGGGCAAAAAGTACAATAGTGAAGATTAAGATTATTACAGTATAGCCAATCTTATTCATTTTCACAGAATGCAAGAATTAGGTCCTCCTGTTTCC